ACTATGGATCTGTAGAACGTGTCGCCGCATGGTATACGAGTGCTCCGTCTTATAACTGCATAGTAAACAGATGTAGGTTTTTTCTTCGCGCCGGAACATTCCCAAATCGTCGATTGAACTGAGGCTATTGTTATAGTCCAGCATGTCGGTCACAACCGGTGCCAATGTGGGTCCTGTAAACAATGGATAAACCCGACGTCGTCATTTGATACCCTCTTCGCCTATAACAATAGGCAACAATTCTTCTACTGCTAACCAATATACATTTGCGTAAATATGCTGAGAATTCCGCAAAGCTGGCCTCGGTCAACATACACGCTACGCCACGCGTTACCATTATTATTGACTGTTACAAACTCTAATGGCCAAGTGACATTCGATAAACAAGGCTACATTTGATATAATGTTTTCATTTAAGTTTGGAACAACATTCAATTTAATAACTTAAAACATAGCGTGTACATAGTCGTGATCAGTCGACTGGTTATACTGAGTTCCTGTGGCCCCAGTTAAGGTGGACCTGTCTCGTAAGCACACGAGGACAGTTGCGTCTGAAAGAATAGAAGTGTTGTTAAAACCTAATCTTGATCATATTCAAGGTACGTTTTACTGAATATAGTTTTATACATTTATTATTCTTCTGTTGCTAATGAGAGATAGTTCATGAGACGTTTACGTTGGGGATACTTTATTTCCCTACTTAACGATTGTAGCATAGTAATATTATAAACATCGAAGAAATAATTTCACACATTTTATGTTCAATAACTTCATAACAGGTCAGACGACACACAATATCATTTGGCCTTTTTTTTTCTTTTACAACGACACGGTAAAAATTCGGCTGTATGGATGTATCACAATCACCCTTTGACAAATAGCTAATATAAAACTATAATCTCTTAGTGGAACATCGTTACGGCGCTAACCTGAACGTGTTACGTAGCTTAACATAATATTAGAGTACCAGCTATATAATTGAATTCTTATTGGTTCCCGGCTTGCTGACTAGCAGTCGACCATTTTTTCCGCTAGCATTTACTTGCTTTTTGACACTGATTGAAAATTAATGTTATACAATGAAGTTCGTATATCACTAGGTAGGTTCGAAGCTGCAGTTTCAGGCAGGATGCCTGCTGCAGACGGACACGGGGAGAGTGGAAGCTTGTCGCCTTCGTATCGAAACGAATTTGTCCTGCTTCAGCAGCTCAGCAGTATTCTACCACCCCACGATTATTACGAATTATCCAATCGTCGATGTACTCCGTAGTGAGCGCATGGGTCCACTTGATCTTTACTATCTAACAGTATAATACAAACTTAGATAACCATAATTACTAGCTCTTAGTTACACTTAGGTACCGAGTTGTGTGCATGATATACGACTAGTACAATCGCCGTTCTTATGTTATTTACCGTTAGCTGACCGGAACAGCTAGCTCAAGATCCTCGGCTCACTCAAGGGTCCAGCACATAAACATGAAATGTTTGCACATCAGAAGTCGTTAGGACCACGGAGTGGACAAGATGATTATTGTAAACCATATATAAATGCTTCACTACTCTTTGAATTATGCCGGTCCTCTGCTTCCATGATCGTTACGACTATGTAACCTTTCTCCCAGATACATATAAATTATTTTTAAATATACCTTCCCACTATATATATTATATCGTGTAAATAATTCACGTTTATTCAACTGCTTGTTACTTTTCAACTTAGTTCTTGGCGTTTCTACCTATAACGGTCAATGCGATTGCCCCGACGCTTGCTGGACGTGCCGCACGTTCGCATGTTTGAGCCGTATATGCGTATGCAACTGGCTATACGCAGGATAACCGCGAGAACAGAATCGGCATCTGTATGGCTTCTCAAGAGTGTGCTTCGAGCGTTCGTGGTTATCGCGGCGTTCTTTCGTCGGAAACCTGTGTGGGCAATAACGACAGTTGAACGGCTTGACGGCTGCATGCTTCGCATAGTAGTGCTTCTCCATGTGCTGGAAACGGAGTGACGTGTACGTGCAGTGGTGGCAATGATACATCGCTTGGCCATCGCGTTTGGAGCAGATTTCCTCCTTATCTGCACGAGCCTGATATGGTGCAATCGACGCGGGCTGTATTATTCGAGTGTTGTCACCCACACCGACGCCGGCCCCACCCAGTGGCAAACTGAGTAATTCGTGATTAGTTATTACGCCGGGAAGCCCGTCGACGATCGCTGATTGATGACGATGCCTCAACGAGTACGAGGAATGCGAAGGTAATTGCCCTTCACCATTCGAAGGATGGGACTGATGATGGTGATCCAGTCCTCCTGTTACCGCTACAGCTGCGGCCACGCTGTTGCTAAACGGGAGTACTTCAAGCTCGAGTGAGGCCTCTTGGTAAGGACAAACCGAAGCCGAGTCGAACGTATCGGTAAGTCCGGCCGTAGTTGCGATGGACTCACCTCTTCCCGTTGAGACGGGATCACTCTCTGCAACAAATGATCGCGCTTATTGGTGACTACTCGAGTACGCGAGACGTTCCTGTGTTCTTTTTCAGCGCCTATTCGCCATACGTTTGTACCCTACAATAATAATTATATTACTGCAAACAATTGTATACTCGTTCATGTCTTATAAGTGTGCGTCTTTATTCGACGTAAACGAAGAATACATTCGAAGACGGCATGGGAACGCCGTTACATCAAGGAAGATTCACTTGATAGACTTGTGCGTGCTCCCTGTACGCCAACGTAACGGTATTTGGGAATAACGCTACCATTTGTTTGACGATTTTAACTTTGCTCGCGGCCTTTTTTTATAAGAAAGCATGATGGCATCACATCACTTTTATGCACATCGTCGAGCATCGCTCCAACTGCGCCTGAAAGAAGAGCAGACTATTAGAAAAAATCGAGAATAAATGTGAGGCCCGTATACACTGGATATATACATTTATAACTGCTATTAGAAGCCTTCCCCAATGCAGAGATAATCGAGGGATCGGTAACACTATTACACTGCAAAGCAAATTAATAAGGACGCTCTCATATAAATTCTATACCTAAATTTATTTACTCTATTACTGTAATAGTCATTGGAATGTTACTTAATAATAATCTCAGTATATATTATTATAGTAGGCAGATGAACGATATTTTGACGATGCTTAATTGAAACATCAGGGTCACCCAGCTTTAAAAAACATCCCTTTAAACGAGATGGATTTCTTTCATCGCAAGAAAACATGGAAAAATTGATTGAGTAGATTAGTGTATCACTTCATTCACGACGGTCTTATTTCTCTCTCATTCAGTTACTATTGGGAGAAACATGTTGTTGCATACCCGATTAATTAGTACAACGTCTATATATACTCTATGTTATATTTATATCTGATTGGGTACACAGCATACTCGGTAGCAGCAGCAGCAAGCGCACGAGAACTCAGACCGGATGCATCTTTTTACGCTGTAGAACGTGTTCTTTGGCATTGCACGCTATACTAATAATACGTATAGCATTTTACGTTGTTTGATGAACGTGTTTCTTTTTTTTCTCAGTTCACAGCTGTTTATACATGACTTTCGCGAATTTGATTCGTGATGAATCAACGATGTTGTAAATGACCCGGATATTTTTAATGAGAGAGATAGTTTTCTACCAATTGGCATCCCATCTACCCCAAATTGCTGAGATCCTTCAGCATCGGTCTGTATCCAAAGTACCCATTGTCCATCCGGGCGTCCGGATGAATTTTCACGACTAGCGTCACAAGGGAAACAGAGTGTCGGAATCATTCTTTTGTGGAGCCCTGCTCCTTTCGTTCGACTTTACAAGTTTATCTATAGATAAAGTTTCTGTTATTATCGTTTGCTATCGAAAATAAATAGGACCAGTTCAGATTAGAAAATTTACACGCGTTCAGTTTCACTGAGCACCTGCCGCACCGCTCAACTTAGCGCTGCGGTCTACAGTTATGCGCTCATAAATATGACTATTTCGACACTGCCTCTTTGTAAAACGAAAAGCGTATTGATTTAACCCGCACATTTACTAAAGATTTCATCGTACAGAACGATAAGCCGTCGTATAGTTACCTTTGTATTCATCGAAAACAGAAATTAGAAATCGCTGCTTTTTCAGACAGATGAACACCAAATGTGCTTTATCGCCTTCTCTATTTTACAAGCTTTAGCCATAATATCAACCGATAAATCATTGCAATAATCGCTATTTTCTACATGGACAGATAATTTCTCCATACTGGGCTATCCGTGTAAAAATTATTTGGAGATCGTACTGGAAATTATATAGTTATACACATTATATAGACGGAAGTAATATGAAGTATATACGCCTCTTCGTAGTTCGAATGCTGATTTAATATGGCTGAAGTATTACAGGCATACAAATCATGCAACTATAAATGGGTGTTTCGGCGTTACGCATCGGCACACGTTTGTTTAGATAACTTTTGTAGCTCCAAAAATAAACAAGCAAAACGTCGTTTAGCCAGCATAGCTACGGAATCAAAGAGAGCGAGCAAGACATTTATATACCCGTATCTAAATAACAATCGCAAAGGCTTCGCGCCGCTTTCTTTGCCCATTCATAGTGTCGCTATATTTGTCGTATTACACTGAACAAGCCGTTTCTAAAGCTTACGCATACCATATTGCCATTATTTCGGCTGTCAGAAATCTCGAAGGGCAGGAATCGCACCAAAATATTGTTGATTGCTGCTTTCAGTCAGTGTCATTTCATGAAACAACCATACTCACCTCTATGAACACGCTCTAGCAGTTTATTTTTCACATTGTATATATATATATATATATATATATAATGTATCTGTGTGTATATATACTCGTATATATCGTTCTACACAAATAAGTAGTTGCCGGTATACAAGTCACTATTGATCTCGAGAATATAACCAGTTTAGGATCTTCGCCAAAAACACGTGCACGGTTACGCTGGATATGCACGTACAGGTTCTGCAAAGATTTGATCTTAGTCGATGACAACGGCATCGGTCGAGAACGACTGATGAGAGGTTCCCGAAGTGGACGGACCGGCACCATCTAGGTCATCGACGACCGTGATCCTTTTAGAGGAAGCTTCGACTTCGCCAATCATCTTTTCCGGATGTGTACGATAAACGTGCATTCTTCGTGCAGCAAGTGTGGCGAACGCTCTCGTACAGTACAGACACTGAACGGGCCGCTCCTGTGTGTGAATGGCCCGTTCGTGTCCAGCTCTCTCGTATGGATGCACAAAGCACTGCTCGCAATAGCGGCACTTTAGCGGACGCTCCTTCGAGTGATAGCGGTAGAAATGGTCGTACATCTTGAACGATGTCGTTGAACGGAAGTCGCAATATTTGCAGCGCATGATTAGCCCGCCCGAAGTTTCGTCGGTGTCATAGTGGTCGCGAACGTTGACCCGCTGCTCGGTTAGTAACTGCTGCTGCTGCGATGGATCCTGATTGTTCAAATCGGACTGAAGCATCCAGTCGTCCTGTGAGTCGTCGAGTGTGGGACGGCCCCGTTTTGCTTTGATCCCATGAACGAGTTTAGCGTGCTGGTTTCGCTTGCGGTGCGACACGAACTCCAAAGGGCAGAGTTTGCATCGAAATACCTGTCCGACCTGGTGCTTTTCTTCCATATGGTGCTTGAGCTCATGTTTCGTTATATAACTCCACTGGCAGAGCGAACATCGAAACGCAGGTGGTTTTTGGGTCGCGTGTCGACGGTAGAAGTGCCATCGTGCCGGCTGCAGGGTGCTGGATCGATAATCGCAAAAGTTACAATAGTATAGTCCATCCTGTGGCCCGCCACCTACGCAATCGCGTTCAACAGAGAACCGAAGTTCGCTAGGAAGTTCAGCATCGAACTGAGCGCCTGCCATCGCCTCAGCCATGACCATCGTGGCTAGCACGGGCTCGTCGATTGATACGCCAGCGGCGGCTGCCAATCGCATTGCAAACACGGTGGCCGCGTCCTCCACCTCAACGTCCGTTGGTTCCGTCTTGACCACTGGCGCAGGAAAATCATCTGAAATGCATTCATTGTTGCCAAGGAAATAGGCGTTACCGTTCGTGAATAAAATGCAAATAGGTAATACAATGGTACAGAGGGACGAGTCAACACAACAGATAACCATCTGCAAGAACAACACCTAGTCAAACATGATCTGCAAGCAGTTCCTTGCATGAACCAGTATCATCTTTTTCAAACGAGATCACCCGGTATTACTTCAGTATCATTGTAAAATTAACGTGCGTTATCTCTCTTTGGCGACAACTAGTAATATAGAAGACGTATGGCAAAGAACTTCAACAAATTTCGACTTTTTCATTTATTGAGAAATTTGGTGGCCGTCTCGGTTACGGTTTATACCGTTATCCGATCGATTGAAGTTGCAGAAGCACGAAACTTTCTGCTACAGCTAAATTCGATCTGCAACGAGAAATCGTTATTAGTAGAAGTTCACTTCTAGAGTTTTTATGCAAAAGAAGACAAACTCTATTCAACGTTTGTTGCAAAATTGTGGATAGACTATCAAACTAAAATAAATCAGGTTTGTCCGCTGGATTTAAGTGCTTTATTGACAGACTGCTCACTCACATACATAAATGCTTACCATAATTCTCTTCTTCAAGTAGGCTCACATTTTAGTAAATGTTTAAAATCAAAATAATTATAATTTTATAATACCATAGTTGTACGCTGCTGTTTAACTCAAGTCAAAAAGCATCAAATTAACTGTTCTGGCAAGACATGACATCCGTGATTGCGTTCTAGCTAGTACAACTGAAGATACCGCTCTTCTGTGATCGACTCCTCTAATCTTCGTCTCATACCACCAGAATAGTCCTTCGAATGTGCTTTATACATTGTAATCTATTCAAATATGGCGCGCTTAATAGGAGACAGCAGAACGTGCGGTCAGTTGTCCGCGCACAAAATTTGTTTCAAGCTTTATTGACACGATAGAGTCAATGAGGTGTTCCGTGGTACCAACTTTCAAGTTGTATCAAATTAGTCTTTCTTGGATTGATTTGTCCTATCGGTTAGAATCCAATATTATCTGAAAGAGGATCTCGGTGTGAAGAGGATGTTGTATACAGGGTTTGTTGCTGTCACCCTCATCACTTACTCTATAAAGCACGAATTCCATAGGTGCCATGTATTACTTGAATCCTCAGCAATTATTAATTATGTATCAACAATTATGCAATGGATAGCATTGAAATAGATGTAAAAATTGTTTGCCTATCAACTATTGCTTATACCAGAGGAAAAATGCAGATATCACGGTTCCATATAACAATATTTATCCTTTGTTTATTATCACAATATACAGCGGCTGATGATCCGCACTATCCATAGCAGTGCTTTGTGCATATTTACATAAATGGCTATAATTATTTCTAAGAATGCTACGCTGAACCACAGTTTGCCCTTGCAGTCTTTGCTAGTACTTGTTTTTCTGATTGTCAAGGATATTTTTCATCAACCATAGGTCCCACACTTGACCGACCTCTCCATCTCGTGGTCTTAATAGATGTAGCTTGTCAGCATCTGCCAAACTATTGTAACCAATTAAAAATATTTACCTTCAGCTGTGCCATATCCCAGACATGCGAAACGCCATCGAAACTGTGCCCTTGGGCATTTCTGATCGCGATGTCTGATCAGCGCATGAGGATCAGGTCGTTATGCGATGGTTCGTGCGCAAAAAGGCACAAGCCGTTAAGGTACCTGATGTTATATATTAGTCGACGTAAGGTAGGACGATGTCTGACGAAAGGAAAGTTCAAAAGATGTCGCTTTAAGAGACCGCAAGGGTACTGTAGCGTGTTAGTCATTATAGATTTATTTATATCTATTCCGGTTCACATAACGGTACGCTGCTGCTGTGGCCAAATGTAGGTTAATGTACTAGGTTTGCAGCTGCGTTTTTGCAACACTTAGTATATTACGGAAAATGAAAAAAGCAGGGACATTTTTTCAATGGACGACAACTTCCCAATCAATTTTTCAATAATAGACATTGGCCATTTGTACTAATCTATACCTTATCGACCCGTTTAGCCCTATAACAGCTAATATGTTCTTAATTACAGTGGTTTAGCTCATGTACGTAAAATACTAACTAGTTGATTTTTTACCCAAAACTCGTCGTAAGGTAATATACCGACTTATCTTCCAGCATGTTACTAACATAATACAACATGTCTGCAAATGATTTTTGAGCTAGTAGTAAAACCCACTGAACTTATGATTTAAGTTAATAACAAGTTAATACGGTAATATTAATCAGTAATACCAGTTTCTTTTTTTATCGTTCCGTTGCGTATGTAATTTGAAAGGCCTCAACTTCAATGCAGCGTTTATATCTTGACACATTAATTTGTCTGACTTAATTTATGCAGTCAAAATAAACCCTTCTTGCCAAGGCATTATATGGTTGTTTTTTTTTATTTCCCCATTTCCGAAAATGTTGTCTCCAAAATAGATTGAAAATGTGCTTAATATGCTTACTATTAAGTGCATTTTATGAGCTCGCCGGTCTCGTTAAGGACAAATTACTGTTTTATGATTTCTTCTAAAACCCTTTAGCCAAACTGAGAACAATTTGATTGCCAGATAAATTGCTTTGAATAATTTCAAGGCACTTCCAGATATTTCAGAACGTGTATTTCTCGAAGATCATGAAACTTCACAACAATATCTATAATCAAGAAATCAACTGAAAGCATTGTGAAGGACAGTTCCTAGACCTGAATGCCTGATAGCAGCGATAGAACAAGAAAGGTCGGATTGGCTAGCTTTTATGGTTCAAATTACTTGTTTTTTGCTCGAAGGGCGCTCTTCGGACGTAAAATTCGTTACTTGCTCAAGCAAGCAACATCAGAACCGTTACCGGCATGCGGATAAACCTGGTTACGACATTGTTCCTTTTTTTATTGGATTATCGATACATGACTTACCACAGGTACAGTGTTTGTACAGTCTCAGGAAAACGTGATCTTTCCGACTACAATTTCAGACACAACGCAAGCGGTGTCGGCCAAGTAAAAAAGAAGGATGGCATTAATGACAAAGGAACGATACACGCTAATATAAACCCACTTGAATTAGTGCATCTGTGCATAAGTGTAACAAATTGTCACAAAGTGAACAGGAACAAGAGTGGGAACGCAAAATGATATCTCATTGTTATATAATAAACACGGTTGCATACGTTTTCAAAAAATGGAACTAATTGTAATTTTCGACCGATTAGCAACGGGCGTCTCATATATATACTTGTTTCGATCATTTGTCCGCGACCTCTCGCCTACGGATTGGTACATCACTATTGTGCACTGTAATTTTTCCTGTAGGGAATGTCTGCTATAAAAACGGCAGACATTACAAATCCATTTTTGCTATAACGGAGAATCCATAGCCATTGATAGATGATGAAAGACGATAAACAAAGTAGTTCTTCAAGACCTGTTCTAGGCAAGATGAAAACGTGCCTGAAGAATGATATTCTACTTGTAATCGTGTACTCTCATCTATTCCCTCGAATATTCATATACATGGGTACAACACCGACCCATCGGCTCACGACCCATCTAGCCGATAGCACCGTAATAACGCTTAAGAACCACTAATACGACTCAGACTGACTAATGTTGTTAGACGAAATAGGCTAGCGACTGTTTCGAAATGGCATCGCAAACGATCACGAAAGCATTCCCTCTAAGCGTAAGCTGTCCTGCTGCAGTCCTTATATAAATATGTAAAATAATAAATGTATGCTCCTGCACAGTGATGCGCACGCAGCGCAGACCTGAAAATTTTCCTCTGATCTGCGACAGTGGCCAGCGATATATTCGGCTATAATAAGGCAGTAGCGCATAACATCAAATGAATCAAAAGCGGACGTATTTCACATTACAAGCGTATTACACGATGCTGTTACTCTAGCTGATACAGGGACTGAAATTAAATCTGATCCTATTTGGCGGCAGTTAATCGATTTGGATTAGACGGAGGCCAAAATTAATGGAACTTTATGCAGGAAGGGTTTTCAGTGAAACTTCGGATTTTATTTGGCTGGCGGAAACAGTATAAGCTGATATAAAATACAACATTTCAAACAGCGAACGGTGTGCCATGCGATAATCTACAGAAAAGCAGATGAATCAAACTAAAAGATAGATTAATTAAACTTCTTTCTGGCAATTCACAGACACACATGTTTTTCGAACAATTCATGTTTATAGCCGCAATGATTCTGCGACAAACCGAGTTCAATAGTGACATTCTAGGCACCATAACCTACTGCTTCAGGCCGATGAACAGAAGCTGTTAAAAATATAACATTTTATTTAGCATGTCTATGTTAATGTGTTGTTTACGTCGAAAGGTAACATATGTGCAATGCATGAGAATGATTTTTAACACAAGTATCAATCGTAGCTATTCGTCATTTTATCAATAGCTATCACATGAGAATGTAATATGGATAATCTTTGTATTCCTTGTGAGTAAACGCGCTGAACTGAGACGGATTCTGCTAACGGTGGGTTCAGTAGATCCTCAACATTTCCCAATGGGCCTTGCTGTGCACAATCCCACTTATTAGGACGTGTTCTAAAGAGGGCTGCGGGTCAATTGTCTCGTATGATCAATCAAGGCATCGCAGTTTAATGTATATTCGGTCGCAACTCAATCTGAAATAATATAGCGGATGTTAGTACAACAGCAGTACAAAATTATTGTAAAAAACCAACGACGGCAAGGCGAAAATGTGAGATGTTATATACAAGTTTACTTATGAACGTAGCTGACCACAAATTAGTAACTTATTATTATACAAAGACGCTACGTACTTTGTCTACAAATATTAACTGAAAGTGCTTAATTTATCTTTTTTCTTTTGCAGTTCAATAATTGAGAATTCCGAGTCACCCATAGGTGTTTGCCACACGATATATATTAGCGTCTTTTCGAATATTCCCGTAACGCCCCCACCATGAACGGGGGCAAACAAAACTTCCGTGATCACTCTAGGACTAGCCTCTGTATATCAATGTCAAGATTGTGTAACACTGTCTTTTAAGACGCCCCCACAACTCCCCGATCCTCTAGCCTAGCACAAAATGACCTGTGACGACAACAAAAGGCAAAAACAACCTGAAAAAACCGTGACGGTCATTTGTATTCGTCGTTCTTAACCTAGAATTTATTCACATATCCAGTCAACAACGATACATCCGAAATCATCAAACGCGTCCTATTTACAACGATTACTGTGCTATACGAGTAAATGATTTAATAGCTCGTGGACTTAAATAGGTCGAGCCAAACCGCGTCTGGCTATGAAGATTGCACCTCGTATACGCATTACGTTATATTGATATATGTACTTTATATAGATATATTCACTTGCCCTGTTCCTGTATAAATACATCGTCAGTTGTCGTTATTACACTATATATATGTATAGCGCGCCGGCGTTTCGAAGCAGTAGCCAGCCGGTCGATTCCTAAAAATGGCTGTAGTACATGATCAGCGGTTTTTCTTTATACAAATTTGTTCACAGTCTACTTACATCGTCTTAACTTGAACAACAATCCGTTTTTCCTTATCATCTGCCTTTTGCTATCTATAGGACCTTATGGAATCGACGATTGTTCGTCAAGAACACAGTTAGGAAATATTTGTGGAACTGAGATACATTAAATTACGTAGAGGCTTACATTTGCACAGGCTGCTCCTTTTCCTTCGCTGTATGAATAGTAGAACTAAACATGTAAGCGCACTAGTTATACCATATGCGAGAAAATTGGTTAAGATCGGGGTTTGCTGCGACAAACCCTTAACCGCACGAATTGTGATAGTTTCATTCATCTTTCAGCCAACGGTAGTAAAAGTCAGTGTACGATAAAAGTCGCATATATTAAAACAAGGTCGTACAACTATCAGTTGGCGTTCTTCATATAGCCCTGTAATTAGAGCTCCTCTCGAATTAATACATTTTTTTAATTAGTACCATTTAGACAACGAACACAAGTTGTCCTTCGTCGTTTATTGTTTACAGATTACCCCCCAAAAAGAAAACAAGGTGAAGAAGCGTTCAGAAGAGATCAACAGTGATGAATCTCCCGATGACGTCTCAGCATCGCTACCGAGTCGAACTGTCGTCCACAAACTGGGCAGGTAGTCACCCCCTCATTGGAGTGGGCCCTCACATGACAAACGAAACGTTCTCTACGTGTAAACGCTTTTTGGCAAACGTTACAGTGGAAAGGCTTATCCATTCCGTGATCGCGGCAGAGATGGTCAGCAAATAGGTGCGACTGTGTCGTTCGGTGTGGACAATACTTGCAGACGAAAAGACCGCTTTCAGACCGACGATAATGACCCATATTGAATTCCATCACAGATTGAAACGTTTTCCTCGAGTTCACCCCGTTACCGCCAGACCCCCCACTGGCTGTAGATTTATCAACGGGTCTGTACGGCTGGAAGGCTGTTGACGAAGTCGTCATAGTCGTCTGTGGGGTGGGCAGCAGCGGGTGGTTGAACGGTATCACCTGATTTTGTGTAACGCACGGAGACGCCACCGACACCGAGGTCAAGACTGTGCTTATCGACACAGCTTCCTTTGAAGTAGGGTAGGCCGGCGGAGGGGGCAAACTTAAAGGTGGCGGCATCCGCGGCGACTCCGCTTCGATCAACGCGGCGATGTCAAGTGGACAAAGTGAGAACATTTCGCTTTTTGTTGACTCATTCGGTTTCTGCTGCTGCTGCTGCTGCTGTGACTGTTGGCCCTGCTGGTGGCCCATCGTGGGGTGTTGCTGCTGCTGCTGTACTTGTTGTGAATGGGGCAGCTGTGCCTGATGCTGCGTCTGCTGTTGGGCTACAGATAAACTGGCGGTGAGAGAGGCGATTGCAGCTTCCACTGCAGCCGCAGATGATTGTGGATGCGGAGTTTGCTGTTGTTGTGATGCTTGTTGATGGTTAACTGGAAGAAAGTAGTAACTGGATCAGATCGAAAAAGACGTTACCTGAACTATTGGCGAAGTAGTGTGTTTAAATAAGGTATAAGGTACTGAGAAGATTGACGCTAAAAGGCATCGAATAAGCAAATTGATCCATGACTTGGAGACAGGTAAGGTTGTGTATTCGCTTGTTTATTAAGTCGCCGTAATTCCTAAACTACTTGTATGGGTTTGACATTCATTTTATAAATATACGCAATAGATTCAGATCCGCTCAGTTCCGCAGTCTACTTTAACCTGAGCAACCGACGGTAAGCATCATCCCACTAAGGGTTACAATGAATGTTGCCTCGTTTCGAGGTCCAGTTAGTTTTGTAGAAGATCGAAGCTTAAGGGTCAGCTCGAATAGGGCCATTGTTGTTCATTAAAATCTGTAAGAAGATAGAATATATGAGTCAAACGAACTTCCATATTTGGTTTTGCAATATGTCTCTCCGTCTAGTGCCATAGGACGCCACAAATAATAGTGCGCATAATATCAATGGCTAGATATCGATAGGGAGCTAAGCGAAAACAAAGGGCGCCTATTTGTTATTTAATATAGAAAAAATTCAAAGAAAAGAGATGTATCATATACGCTTTCACAGACGATATTTCCCCGACTAAACAATTTTTTATATATCCGTATGTTTATTAGTGCTAGTGTGCTAAGCGCACCGATTGTTGGCCCTTGTTCTCATCGTTTAGTCCGAACAGTATTCTAGTAAGCCCGCAAGGTGGGAGCCGTAGCTCAAAACCGACAAAGCTTGAGATGATAAGATGAATAGTCACCCATTCATTGTGATATATTATCAGTTTTGTCTTGTAGCAAATACGCTGCGTTTGGGGTGACTCCTCGTACGGGGCTCCATGCAAGGCTGAAGCCTCCCAGTAGCATTATTATCTTTATTAAATGGCCACTGGCACTGTAGTAGGCCGGTGTCCTGAAAATCACATTGAAACATAGTAAAAAATAAAAACATTCTCAGCAGATACGTATTTACGAGCAGTTATTAATAGTCAATATAGCAAACAAAGTTCTTATCAATGATAATAAATAAAAACAGGCTGCTTTAAGACACCTTTACTCGCGATAATAGAGAAGACATTGTTAATTCTACTTTCACAAATACCCCTTTCTGCTCCGTAAAACATTTATGGATTTTACTGCCCAACTGAAGATGGGCTTTCGAAACAGCCGGGCTATTTTTCCGTTAACAGGACGCTGTAGCTGTTATGTATTTGCCTGCGATGATGTCCCAGTGAACTCTACTATGAGACATCTTCCCACAGTATTCACAGGTGTATGTCTTCGCGTTAAGGCTGGCCCTTACCGCAGATGTAGCATTGATACAATCCTTCAAAGCCGTGCTATATACAAAGATTTTCTGGAAATGCATATTGTTGATGATTGTTTGTATCGGTTTGGGCGATAGTCGTGGACGAAAAAGTTATCAGCTGATCGTTAGCCCGCAATGAAATTCATTATGGACAAACGGCGTTACTGCTTGGTGTTAAATCCTGCTGTGATGTCCACTGATAGCGGCGTGCCATACCAAAATAGAGGCAACAATGGTAGGTCCGTAGTTTCGTACGGCGAAACGTCACACGAATCCTTGATATCGACGAAACTCGGATGCAAATCGCTTTTTTCGCTCGCGAAATCCCCGATTAAAAGGGCCCTTCGTTGCGAGGGTCCTCCAAGGGCAAAATGGACCTGCTGGAAGAAAGAGACTGGTGTTTATCCAATTCTAGCAACAGATGGTGTTTGTTTCGGTGCTGCGAACTTCATATTATGGATTGATAGATAGGTGTTTCGCCATAGTTGACGGAAAGAGTAACGATCTAATAATGTAGTTGAGTCTGTAATTAAAAGAAGACAGTAGGTCACACTTAAGTAGAATGAATAATTCATGTGCACAACTTCGTAAATATTTTGAGGCAAGCCTAACAGCTTTATTATCACTAGCATTTTACACAATTGTTAGAGGTTATTTTACATACACATGTAGACAACAATCATCTTTTTAGATTTTTCAAGATTAAATGTAGGTAGCCTTTCATTTATGCGTCAATCTCTATTCATTCGTGGTAGCTTTCAATAAATATTAGTATTCAGTACCTGAAAAAAAGCTATAACTGGCGTCGATGCAGCTGACGGGAGGACGATTCCACCTTTTTCGCGTAGCCTCTTGCTGCCTGCAAGAAAATCAGGTGATTTAAGAAGGCATACAATTTTCTTAAAGGCCCCAAATAGAGCTATGCTTTCAACAAAAGCAAACTTTAGTAAGCTGACAATATCTTTTTGATTCATAACATGAAAACATGTCTTGATAACTGAATGCTTGTTCTAAGACTCTTCTATTGAAGACAACGTCATGGCATTTACGTTTAGCCAGTACTGTCTTTTTATTTTTCATCACTTTATCATTTTACAGCTTATATCTTTTGTTTTATTACACAGCTGTTCACTTATGATCTTCAGATTTAACGACGAATGTCGCCTAAATACGTTTCCACCTGTGGATACTTATCCTGCTTTTAAAGAAGTTACCCGTGTGTGTGTGTGTGTGTGTGTTTCTCCATACGTTTACCACGCTGTCTCCATCTTGCCAATCGATGAGTTTGGTTTTATTATCATAAATACATCAATATGTATAATTCGTATTCTATCTAGTCACAGCTCATAGACCTGTTTTTCGAGAGACTTTCTATGTCATAGAAGAACTAAGCTCTCCACAACGGAGGTATTGTGCCCCCGCAATTTCCCCTTACCTGCAACTTGTCGGTCGTAGCTGATTTTCATTAATAGCTGAATGATGTATCGAATTGTCCACTCACAAAATGTGTAACCGACATTCGATTCTTCTGTTTAATAAATAGCTGGGGGATCTATATATACGTATATATATATATATGTATATGGAGAATTTACTTATGACAATGGAATCACTATATATATGACTGCGATTTGCAGGCAGTTAACCTGACAGATGATAACAACACCGTTTCTATTAAAAAAATTTCCGCTATAAATCTCACTTGCATTCAAACCTGTCATGGTAAGACGCTAAACGAATAACTAATTGTAAATTGTAGTTGGGAACAGTAATCAAAATCGTTTTTAAAGTCGCAACTTATACGTGAACACTTAGCGAATCTGCATGACAAGCTGAATTTTTTTTACATGTTATATAACATAACAAAATTCAAAAAATATATATCACGTAGTAATTGATTAAATTGTCTTGAAGATAATCAACCAGAGACTACCTGTTGTAGCCGGATAAAAGCTAAAGGATATATTGTACAAATGAATACAAACGTTGAGCTATGAAATAAAATAATCCAAGCTCGACTATCACCGTCTTGATTTTTTATAATATTTACAAAAAAAAAAGAGGACAGATAACCGAAATCGTCTTGCATACATCTTGGAAACTTCACTTTTTAACTTAGAAGTGCTTGGAATGGCTAGCAAAGGCGCTTCGACTAAAACAAACTCATTTGTTTGTCGACTTTTAAAAAACTACTAAACTTTAACCTATGGTGAGCTGTCAATACTGAAACCTTCTTCTTTCTATATATAAAACATTTTTGTCAGTAATGCAATTCTGACGTAACGAAATAAGACGATAAAAACCCAGTCCTAACAGTAACTCTTAGTACTCCTCAGAAATGATACAGAATTAGAACTGTAATTGAATCACAGGCCTCGTGTTACCTGCTTTCAATAAATCGACTCTCGGAGATCGGCCTCGTTCTCCCGAAATCCGGAAACAAAGTTATCCTTATGTCCGCTATAGTCGTTAGAGGAACACAAGCATACACAGCAAGTATCCATATATTACACTTTAGGCGACGAGACTCTCACTTAAGAAAGGCAAACTTCAATTGAACTTTAGTATTTAATACGATTTCACCGTAGCACCCCGTGCTGTTAAACAATATACTTAACATTTAATCAGATCAGTTTATGATCTCTGCTCGATATTTGGTTGTACCTGTTGCGTAAGATGTTTATAGGTGAAATGTATAAATTTTATAATTATCGTTAATTATTACGTCTTTGTTTTTCTCTTTCTCTCGACTAGCACACCGTTAATGCTCTATATAGTAATAGTAATATATATACTACGGTCTCGACAGATCTGCTTTCTCGCGCTTAATGTCTTCTATATGCAGCCGTTTTTCCTGTGCAGATGAATCCGCGTAATCGGCACCCCGCGACCACACTTCGCACAGCAGCAGCATCGAACATTGGGGTGCGCGATTTTGCAGTGATCTTCAAGGGCGTGACGTCGTCTAAAGAGTCTCGAGCATATGTCACAGACGTAACTCAATGCCATATGCTCCTGGAAATAGTGATCTTGTGCGGCCCGATAATAGCCTGTTTCCACACCGCATAGGACACACTGAAAGCGGCCATTCACCTTGACACAATGACGACGCGTTGAAAACGACCCGCCGACGTCATCTCCAGCTGCAGTGGCGACAGATGCCCCAGCTGAAGGTCTCGATAACGTTGGGCCAGTCAGCACGGTTGGCGTAGGATCGTTCTCGTACGATGTAAACTGTTGATCATCTACGGTCGACCAGTAACGAATAGAATGGCGAGCTTTTCTCATAGAAAGAACTCCTGCAGGAAAAACAGTAACTCAGCTTAATATATCTTCCACATTTGATATGCCTAAAATGGTTATGCGAAACACATTGGTGCATCAGCTACTAGCCAACAAAAATGAACGTTCTTTAGTATCGCGCTGTATCCCGGTCGCTGTACGATCGTTGTAGGGAAATATATAAGAATCAAAACTAATAAATAAGAACGTTTAATTCTTCGTTTTGGGTTTATTCCTAAACTAGCAAGTACGAAACTAGCGTACGAAGAACTGAATGTTCAGGTGGCATGCAGCAATTCCAATCGGACGGTTGTATTCGGGGAGTAAATGAACAAAACGCTGACTTACGGTGCAAGTGAAGTTACGTGAGGGATAACTGAAGTAAACTTACTTCTTCACAGAGTCAAGATTTGTCGGTTTTAAAAACAATCAGTCAGGTAGTCATTAGGTCAGCGTTCGAGCATAACTCAGATACTAATGAACCCTGGGAAGAGAACAGACGTACCGATATTTGCTGATCTCAAATATGCTATTTTCTAAATGACCCATGTGTCTAAACATGACCAACTTTATTGAGCAGTTTATATCCGAAAGAACAAGTGATCTTATCGTTATAGCTTACTAGATTTGCCTTAAGCAGAGTTCTCCGGTTCACTCAAATACACCATACACTATTCGGGAATTATTCACATCAAGCGGAAATATCAATAGTTTGACACATTTCGAAACTTTCGCATTACAGAAACTTCCGCCATTTCGTCGACTCGAAGTCAAGTAACTTTTTTGCCTAAGTTCATACAGGTCATTTGCAATTGCTCAGTTATCTCGTCGTCCGTTCTTTTTAAAATTGTCTAAAATTTTTTTTTATTCATTTTTACATGTAATTTATACACACAATTCACTGTAGCAGGTCACGTTCGGGTTAAACCTAGCAAATAACTGTCTCCCGTTTTCGGCATCTTCTTACTGAGCCGTCTCAGTGCGACCTTATCAGACCGACCCCGCAACACGGTTGGTGGCGCTGAAAAAAGAACTTAGGATTAGGACTGTATAAACATCAGCTGTCCGATAGTACTCGGGGTTAAGCTATAAGATGAACATTCATACATATACAAAGCACGAATTTAAACTTGCTAAGAAATCAGGTAACGGAGAGAACGATATACTAGTACAACAGTAGCAACAATAGTTGTTACTATTGTACTAGCTATAAACGTACGAAGACATTTATAGCGTACTAAAGTAACTGTACTGGCAAAAAGAAATAACACCGTTCTACTAGACGAACCGTATATATTTATTATTATTTTTATTTTATATAATTTATTATTATATAATGAAACATACTTTATCGCGTCGTATCTCTCCCGACCTTTATATGATTCACTATATTGCTAGACGTATATTGTACTATACATCTATTTGTGTGTAGATCCTTACGAGCTATCCACATTCGTATCACTGTAATTGTTTTTGAGATTCCTCTTCTTTACGTTATTGGCCTCCTCACATATCTAAAGCGATTTCCCCAACTGTTCTTTATCTACCGTTTGTCTGACCTCTCCCATACTATCCTCTCCTAGATCCTTAGGTATCCTATGGCAACTCCTATAGTCATCTTTCTACGAGTGTATTCTCGTATCTCATTGGTAAGATATCCCCTTTATCGCACTGAGTTAGGCAAAAAAAAACGTTCGCCTGTCACATCGTTCACTTTCATTCCCTTACCAACATACTTCGCTTACATAGATCATTAATCACAATTAGCTGTATATTAGGTACGAGTAGTTTTATAGATCATTAGATAAAGTACCAGTCAAATCCGACCTTATTATTTTGTTTTGACATAATATACATTAGTAATCATCTGCCCCATAGCTGCATTTGTGTATGTGTGTAGCTTTCTATTTAAGTTCTGCGTTTTTATAGTGATCTTATATGTATTTTTACACTAGATACTTGTTTCTATTTTCATTATTATAAGATAACGCAGTAATGACATGAACTATCCCAAGTGAAAATGGATAATGTGGCTTTCTTCTGACAGCTTCTAGCAACGGTGATACATAGTTCTTTATTAGAAACCTGAGTAAATCGGATGTTTTGCTTAGCGCAGACAACTTCTGAAATAAACTAGACTTACATAACAATAATAGTGATAATAATGGTTCTGTACAGTCAAAATATGCCAAGGATTTGACTAGCAGAAAATGCGAGTATATTTGAGCAGTTTTTTTTCATGAGACAACATTGTGAAGCGCTACATATAACTATCTCACAAAAATACAAACGGCACAATAATTAACTGATACACAAAATAAAACTAATTAACAATAAAATGCGTGCTAAATGAAACAGCCGCTAATTGAGAATCTGCCATCGAGAACGTCTCGAAACATATGCCTAAGGCAATTAGTAAATGATTATATTTTTATCCATTTTACTGCCTTAGCTTGACTCTACTTGGTTTTGTTATTCCTGATGGATATACGCGGCCCATTGCTATTTCCAAAGCCCTGGCCGCGGCGTAGACAGCAACAGAGCCGGTCATTTGAATGAAGTGTCTTAAAATGATGGTTAAGCCCTTGCATTCGATTAAAACGTCTGCGACATTACTGGCACTCGTAATCTATAGGTAAATGCTCCTGGAAATAATGGCCTTGATATCCAGTTTCAGTTCCATAGATGAAGCATTGAAAACGGCCATTGACCTCAAGGCAATGCCAACGCGTCGAAAAAGCCTTGGTATCTTCAGACGCCTCTACTCGGTAACGTCGTTAGCGGAAGAGCGCCGAGTGAATTCTCTATGGGGTGACTGGCTCAGGTCCTCGTATAGGCTTGGGCAGCCGGTCCTTTTTTTATTCGTCGGAAGAACCATTTCATTTAACATTATGCTACTATAGTATCAATATCGGGAAAGTCCTGCAACGTCTAACCATAACTGAAACATCGATGTGGTATTTTGTGGACAGGCCAAAAAGGCAAAACGTATGAGGTTGCTGTTTACAATCGCCACTTTACACTGATGAAGTCGATTTCGCTTATAATCTACAAATCGCAACTTTTGCTCGTCTGATATACAAATATAATACATAATTACGATTGCTAAAATGCAATGGTATAAATCGAACACGAAAGCAAAAACAATCATACATCCCTATGTTATATTTATCTGGAATTAAGTCTGACGACCCGCTGGGCTTGAGCATATCAATAAGCGAAGGAAAGGAATAAATGTATGGTACCCTAAATTTTCATTGTGAACGTTACGTTAGTAAACTATAGGCAAACTGGTTACGGGTTTCGTTCTAAAGGAATACAAGTAACATGCTTAGTTATTCCTTAACGCCATACATGAACAATAATTTTCTTTTAAAACGTTGCTCCTTTTCTTTAGTATAAGTTAGAATAATGAGTGCTTTATTAGTTTAACACCAAAATCTTTGCAGTCTATTAGGTTAACCATGTAGAGCGTGTCTTTCTGGCAGTCTCCTAACATTGGCCAACATGCTTTTTTTGACTCATTTAAAAGAAGCGGGTCTCATTGCTTCTTTCCTGTACTTGACCAAATCTTGATTTATCTGGAATCAAAGAGATAGGTTACTATGTTACAATACATTCATCGCGACTACTTCTTTATTGACAGTGTTTTCAAGGAATTACCCAAAATCAACTACATTTCTACAGCTAACCTTCAGCTGTCTTCTTTTTGTAACAGACCTTGCTACAGGCACGAGGCATTGTGTCGAATACCTGTTCAGAGGATCTACTATATATATATCTAGCAAAAAATAAAAACAGCAATAGTACCGCACGCTATTCGTCTATATTTGTCCAATGTTCACAATTGTTTTAAAGGTAACTCTACAAGCAATTACATAATCCAATCTGTACAGCTGTCTTTCGTTTATTAATGTACATCGTATTATACATAGACGCCGATTTACTTATTATTACCGTGGAATTTTCGCACAACGACCTTTTTTTTTATACCTTGTTATATGAAAGGATGTATTTTTCTTTCCAGTTCCACAGTGACGAACGAATCACAGAATGCGTAGGTATTAAGCAAGCTCGAATTGTTCGTTGTCTCGGTGTTGCTACGCTCTCTTCCCGTATCTTTTTCCACAGCTTATTGTGCACGCTCTCTGCACGATTGCTGTCTACGATGAGAGGATTTCATGTGCATAGCCCGTGCGGCCGTCGACGCAAACGACCTATCACAGAATGCGCAGGCATATGGCTTTTCGCCAGTGTGCTTTGATCGCATGTGGTCGCGGAGTCGTTCAGTGCGCAGAAACATTTTCGAACAGACTGAACATCTTAGAGAGGACGGAGATGCCGCGTGAAGCCGATAGTAATGGTCACGTATTGAGGTATACAGCTTGTTCTGGTAATCACAAAGAGAACAATAGTAAACACCATCCGTTTGCTTGCCACCGCCGACGCAATGGATTTTACTATTGAATTTGTTGTCAACTTGTGTATCACTATAACGCTCTATATGGGTATCAGTCGGTTGCTTCTGCTGCTGACTTTGCTGACCATCATTGTCATCCTTTGTGCCCTGCTTTTGCTGTTTTTCCGTCTGTTGCTCCTCGAGTGGTTTTCGACATGCGTTGCGGTGACGACAGTTAGCACGTTCATGATGGCGGAACTTCTCGCGCCTCTCTAATAACCTCTCCTGGAGTCGTTCCTCTTTGATTCGTCGCGAAATCGCTAGCGGCGCCAACGTTGCTTCAACGTCGTCATTGTCACCACAGCCAATACAAATAGGTCTACCTGCTGCTACATCGTTACGGTGAGCGTAGTATCTACTTGGCGTTTCACTACAATTGAGATTGTCCTGACTTCTGTCAACGGGGTTGACCTGATTTTGAAGATTACACTCACTAGTAGATTTTACTCTCACGGCTGGTGCGGCATTGCACCACACAACAATGTCCTTGTCGTTGTATTCGTTACAATTCGCTACTTGGTCAACGTTGCCGTCGTCATGAATTGTGACAGCGACACTGCGTACGTCTTCGATGACCATACCACTAACATTTTCGAAAGTGTCATTTGACCTTTGCCCTGGTGATAGAAAAAAGTTCGGTTATTGAAGCACTTGTTTAGTGCGTCACGCTTTTGAAAGGTGCGCGCCGAATTAGATCGTGGTAACTTTATATACGTATGTATGTATATAAAGTTACCACGATCGGCTCCTTATAAGCCGAAAGGTCACAACAATGTCGTTATATTATCTGGCTCGTATAGTCTGATTTCATGATGCGACGGGATAACGATCATATTATATGTACATACGGGGATCGACTGGGTGCGTGAAGTAAAGGTGGGGATTACTTATTTTTATAGTATAAAAAAAAACCGAAAGTGTGTGTATATGTGATAATTCTATTTATCCAATCATTAAGAATTGACTTCTCTCACTTTTTTATTTTTATTAAGTTCCACCAGTCGCTTTTAAGCGATTTTAGTTTTGTTGATGCTCGGTTGTCCACTGTTGCGCTACTTTCCTAAGAAGTCGCTGTCGAATTCATTGAAAGGTTGTATCTGAAATGAAAAGCAATATTATTAATATGCTCAGAATATACTCTCAAGCTTTACTATCCACATAATGGTGTAACAAGTACGCCAAAGCATTAGATTTATAATTATCTTGTTAAATAAGATTTTAAATATCCTGGTTCTATCTTACTAACAGAAAAGTACCTGTATAACGATATATTATTTTTATTAAATAAATGCATCGCTTTATATTGCCATTGTTTCCTAGTAATATGTCTATAACTAACAATATGTGTATATATTTAGATTGTAATATATAGATAATGTATTATTTTGTAATGTGTATATATTTTCAATAATTATATTATTACGAACATGTAAATTGAGTTGTATAGGACCCTCACAGGTAAATTATTTTCTACGAATGTTTTTGTTCTAGCTCCTCTAAAGGTACTTACAAAGGGTACTGACATACAGAGGAAATGGCTTGGAATGGGTTTTCTAACCGCAATGCGACAACAAAATTGCCGGTCGCAATTCAAGTTCATTGCCCACATGGTTATGGATATGTGATATTTGTTTTTATACTACCACTACAATCGCTGATGATATGCAGTAACTGGGATGGCGTAACGGTAAAAATGATTCCCTTTATTGATGTATGTGATCTTGTTGCTCGTTTATCGATAGGTGCTTGAGGACGATAAATGTGTTACTGTACAATATATATATGAACTTCTAATAGAAATATGCGCAAACCCTTATAAGTCTGCTACAGCCACATGCACCTTTTGTTATGATATAGAAAACATAAGGATGAATGAGTAAGTAACAGTGTTGTTTATAGAAAATGATCTTAATATTTGAGAAAAGATGCGTATACGCACTGTTATCTTTCATGGTGAGCCTTAGCTGTCCTTTCTAGATACGGACAAATTTTCTGAATCGGTGTTTTTTTAAAAACTGTAACTATCGTTGCTGACAATGTTTATAGCAAGTATATTAAGCTGACTATCCCTTAACGACGGAGGTTTTATTAATATAGCAAACTAGGCCTATTCCACCTGATTTTGAGTTTCGAGGCCAGCGAGTAATGTCTATTGATGCAAAAACGTTTTAAAAAGTTTTACGTTTGTAAATCTGGAAAACATAAATTTACATCTTTATTTATTCTCTGGGCAGAGAAATTCACACCTATTTTGCTCGTCAGCATATGCTTCTAGAAGTAGATAAAATTGGTGTAGGACCACTTATTGTAACAGGTACGTAAGAATACCGCATGGTAAACCGTTGTATTCAATGTACATAAATACGAAACTTCATAAGTATTATAGAAATAAGTAGCATCTACGCCTTCGATCGTGATTTGAGTGTTTTCACATACGCCGATTTATGCATTAACTTATCAAATGGTTTCTCTCATCTTGCGTACGCTTTCAAAATAAAAGTGTGCGGGACAAAATATAAAATTGGATAAAACTAAAAGCATAAGGAGCTGCTTTAAAAAATAGATCCTGCCTTGGACAAAGTTGATAATAACAGGTAAGCATTGAAAGTCGACAATGCCACAGTATCCTATCAGTCATGCGTACAATCGTCGTTTGTTACATTATATTCATTATTAGTTAGTTAGTAGTATTCTCTTCTGTTTTGATTGCACGGTGCAGTTTATAAGTATATACAAACTTCGTAGGGGGATGAATTGTATCAACATACATTTTTGGGTGATGTACACAAATGATTTAATTATATCCATATATCTAGGTACATATAGAAAATGTTCGGAATCAATTGGGCAATACCTGATGTCCCTGCTTATAAATTGCATCTAGAAACATATATTTGGATGAAGTTGTTTCATCATGCGCCAATAAATACACTCGTCATGGATGTGCTTGCTTAATGCGATTGTCATTCGCGTCAGTTATGACTTCAATTCGAGACTTACCCGCTCATAAATTATTTTCAAAAAACTGCTTAGATAAACGCATAATTTTTTGACAGTAACTGTCAGTAAAGCAATCTTGGTTCAACTTGTCAGCGAAATACTATTTCGTCGACTTCTGGTAAGCCAACTATCCTAAAAAATCATTCGTCCAAAAAGGCCAAAATGCGCAGAAAGGTGGCACAGACTATTTGAGGCCCTTGAGACTTATCCGGACGACCTAACTAGCAATCTATGGTATGATATGTGACAACATATTGCCTTGAAATAACCAGTATTTCGAGTATCAATTCAAACATGGCTTCTTTGGGCCATTTTGGTGCATTCTAGACTTCTTTCCATCTAATCCCTATTGTGTACTTATCGTTTGCAGCCGCGAAAGGTTCTCTCCACGATCGCTCTAAAAGTGCACAAAGACTGAAAGAAACAACGATTTCGAACCCATCGTTCTCACGCCGCCAAAACAGCTTATAATTTCGGTTGGGGGGGGGGGGGGTCCAGGGCAAAAGCATTGTAACATAGCTGATATTCGATCATATTCCGAAGACGAACTTTCTGCGTCTGCCATAGGAAGTTTATGATGTTTTTAAGAAAGAACAGGTCTTTTTCTAGTAGCAAGAATAACGAATGAGCACGTGCTAGCTTAGCGGATGATCAGCCCGCCAACATTTGTTTCGGTTTATCCTAAACAGTCGTTTGGGTTCTGGTCAACTGAACTTGATTAGTCTCGTGTGAAAAAAGCTTCGTTGCGCGACGCCCTGACACTAGGGTACCCCATTGTAGACTATGCTATTTTCCGTTATATCATACAATAGTTTTGTGAAATCGAAACGAAGCTACTATTTTAAGCGAATGTGTAACAATTAGTTAATTTAACTCATTAACACACGGAGATTACTAAATTACGTCTTCATATGTTAAAGTTTTTTCGCTGGGTCTTTGCTCGATACCTTTAGAAGCTGTTCACCGTTAGTAAAGGGAATGTCGTAACATTTTCTTATCTACTGTGCATCCTGGAGATGACGGCTAGTGGGAAGCGTAATGTGAGTGAGTTATCTGATGCAAATGGAGGCTAACGATATAAAATACCATTTGCTGATTTTCTGTCTCGAAGGGCAGCTTCAACGATTCGCTTAACGTTTGAACATTAGCTCATATCATATACTATACAGCCATTTAACATAACAATCGTATAAATTTTATATCCATAGATGAGCTTAGTTGCATTTCATAATGGGACATAATGTACTATATAATATTTATGCGTTTCTCAACGCTTGTCACATGTCATTGTGCGCGTGCACTGCGCCTACTCGTCGACCAAACCATAATGATAATATTCATTGTAATCGTAATTATATCTAGCTCTTAGCCTATTTGTTCTGTGACCGCACATTGCACGGCTCCTGTTCGGTAAGTTGAAAAAACTTTATTACGCTGACGTCTTATGGATGTGAGGATGCTAAACAATATCAAAAACCTTGCATATTGCACAGATCCTAGGGGATCCTAGGTATACAGGAGCCTCTCATACATGTATTAACAAAAGTCGTTCGGCATGCATGTTTTGTTAGGTAAGCCCACTCATGTAAATTCAAAGCTTGTTACGTACACCGTTTTCTGTCTTTCTTGTTGATTTGCGTCTATTTACGACTACTATGGTACTACTTTCGCACTACTGAGTCTATTACTTTGTCTTTCCACTTATCATGCCATCAGCAGTATTCGTGATGACTCTAATTATTAAATAACAACGTCCTGTTCCGCTTTCGCTCGATCTTTCCACCACAACGTTATTCATCAACTTAACCCATCTAAGGATTACGTTCCTGCTCAATTGCAACGATTGATTCGTGACTTTCCCGTAAATCGGCACTGCCCCAACTCATGTGCGTACTTAAATGTAGGTGATGGCTAGTATCAATACGCTGAACGTTTCTCGTAAGCCGACCGTGTTTAGCCACTTGGTGTTGGTACAATACTGCATTGCTTGCGAACATCCGCCCGCAGAGTACACAGCTGTACGGTTTCTCCTTGGTGTGCCGTGACCGTTCATGTCGCTTAAGGTGTTCGGATCGAACGAATCGCCGAGGGCAATATGAGCACTGAAGTGGCTTGACGGACGCGTGCCGATGATAAAAGTGCTTCTTCATTTGGCCAGCGGTCTTGCCCTGATAAAGACAGAAACTGCAGCAAAACGCCCCCTCCATGTTCCGTACGCCGCCCTTGCAATGCAGATGGACGTTGAACACCTAAAAGGCATTAGAAGGCGGCAGAAGATAATGTTACTGTCGCTCTCGTTTATCTATCATTGCCTTCATGCGTAGCACGTGAATTTGACGCTCCACTTACGCTTAAATGACTGATTAAATGCATAAACAAAACGGTAAATAATCTAACACGTTGGATTATGGTAGTGTGGGTTAGAAATGAGATGGGAACAAAAAAGAGGTTCACGAGTAATGAAGGCCGCAGAACTACCAATAAAAATAGGATCGACGAGATCTTTTGTACTAGTAATGTAAAACGAAAACTTCTTTTTCCTAATAGCTAAAATGCAAAAATCTATTGCACCTGGTCAGGCGGTAGGCCAAGCTCGATGTCGGCACTGTCCGGTGGAAGGTCCAATATATTAGCATGCAAAGAATCCAATGAGAAGCCTACGCCTCGGAATGTGTTTCCTGAGTAACAGAACGGCAGTATTGAGTAATTTTGATTAGTTAGTCACAACTTAAATACGATAAAACAAACTTGAACAGATTTTTCTAGAGTCGGATCGGCAGAAGTACACGAGGCTTATTCTGATTGTTTTCAAATTTGCCTTCAACTAGTTTAGCGAATGCTATAAAGTCAACTGTCGCATATTGTAATTTTAGCATATTGAGTGGCCAGTGCTTCCTTACACATGGTTTTCTTGTACAATTACGGAATACATCGTCATATTAAAAGCTGTAGAAAGCATACAATATTGAAGTTCTTTTTTGGTTTCGATGCATCGGCAATACTCGGCTTGAGAACAACAATTGTTCATCCCTGAAAGAAAAGTCTTGTATTAGCATTGATTCTAGATATTTTAGATTAAAACATCTATAGCGTCAATGCACATTTAATAGTATGTTCGCACGGTTACCATTTGAATGTTCGTATTACTTTTCGATTTAAATTGATTGCCAAGTAAGATTTTTCGCATTCGAAATACTAGACGATATTTCTTATTAAATCTATGTCAATTGCGAATAGTGATCGACGTTTAATGTCACTAAGTAAAAAGCCATTTTCCAAAATCAATAGGATACGGCCTTTATTTCATTCACCAATGTGGATTTAGTTTTACATTAACAATGATGATAACAGAGTTAACATGAAACTCGCAGTTTTAATTAAATAATTTTGAATTCAACACTACGTACGCTGTCACTTGTAATGAAAGTGTCATGTCTCATGTGCGAATAATAAATAATACTTTATTATACATAATAATCTGTAATAAAGGACCTGCCTTTTGCGGTCTCGCACGATGGCGCGTGCTCGATGCCAGGTAGCTTGATCTATTTGTTCTTTTATGTGATAATCGATAGTTTAAGCAGCGTCAAACAAACACAAAGAAATCAACAATAGTTTTCTATCAGACCCTCTCAGCGTAATTATGACTTGCTAACTCCTGACAACAACAACAGTACAAACATCAGTAATAGCACTCGTCTGGCATCAATCGACGTTATTGTGCCACGTGTATATATATAGTCTTATTGGCGATGATACGTGAGTCAACGACTTCTGCCGTCGAAGACCTCACGTACCTGAAATATATTTCGACTTGTACACTCCGCACCGCCGCCACTCAGATAAACGTGCGCATGTAATTATCGTATATAAACTGCGATCTTTGGCACAAAGAGATTCGACATTAGTTTACAAGCTATAGTGAAACAAACGCTTGAAAAAATTAACGGGCCTGGCACACTAGTAAGATGAAAAAGATGTTTTTTGATTCCAGCCTCGTCAAACGAACTATAGTGCATGATGATACATGCGGCATGTGAGAGCACTGATGCCGTCTACGGTAATTGAAATGGCAAAACAAAGCATAATAACACAAAACAAAAGCAGGCAAAAATAGTACATTTTATATATCAGACATATACTTAAAGAAAACATTAGATCGATTGTTTATTTGCTCCGCAAAATTCTTTGACCAAGATTTTACTAAGATCACACCTTTTCCATTTGGCTCAACGTGTTCACTTCCTACTGACAGATGTCTGCCTTCCTGGCTCTTTCTGAAAATACGATACGGTGATGAAATTGTCTGATACGTTAATTATTTAGCGCCGGCTTCGTTCACGCTAAACTAGGCCCCCACCTCCGGTACCACTATTACCACTATTGACTATCCGATGTCCGTGTTTGAAGTGGTCGTGCCATTGGGCAACGGAATCGAAGCTCATGTCACACTGGTCGCATCGACGAACTTGCGCTTGCCGGCGATGCTCACGCACCTCGTGACGTTCCCGTTGCTCTGGTCGCTTAAATCGTCGTGGGCACGACGAGCATTTCAATGGCGGAAGTGTGCAATGGACGTTATAATAGTGAGACGACGCTGAATGGAAATACTCGCAACGATGGGAGCAGTGCCGACAAACGTAGAAACGGGTGCCGTCGTGTGTTTCATGCCGAAAATGTATCGGCCCAAAAATAGTGGGCAGAGTCGCAAGCAATTGTTGTGCGACCATCGATTGACTAACAGCGCCTCGGTCAGTCTCGATCATAGTTCGAGAGCTGGTCCGAAGCTGACGATGTCGATCGTGAGTGTTCGTTATTATACACGAACTAGATGAATTCGACGCAGTTGCCGAAGGAGGTTCGAGGTCAGGTATGATATGCTGTTCCAGAGATCCTACAAGATGATTGATTGAAGATTTTCGATCAATTAGAACCCGGTAATAAATCAAACTAAAATGTCCAATAATAGGAATGGTAACTGGGCCGTTCTTGGTTGAGCTGGGAGAAGTCGGTAGAGAAGAGGATGCGTCACAAGGTGGGGAAGATTCATGGAGGTACTATGATGAGACTGTTCGAATGAAGTAAGTTGAACAGGAATCGGAACAGCTACGTAATCGATACGTACGCCTCAAGTGTATGGGGTACGGGAGCTAATAGTACATTAAAAAGTGAGTGAAAACGCAGTTTGTTAGTTCCTTGAAAATGGGTGCGGAGGCGACGGTGGCGGCGACGGCGACGACGACGACGAGAGCGATGACAATGACGATTGTCTTTTTTTCTTAGGCTTCCCGGTGGAAAACTATGAAATATTGTTCTTAAGGAATAGACATCATGGGAAATCGTATTTAAAGCATGCAAGTAGGAAAGAAACAGGAAAGTGCAACATCAAAGAGCGCTACGCTGACCAAAGTCGGTCTTCTGAAAGGTAATTTTTTCAAGTTTCGTTTGTTGTCGTTGTGCCGGTATAACTTCATGCTTGTTCAGCGAATGGCTGACACAAAACTCAGATGGATTAAGCATCGTTAGCTATCTTGATAGCAATGATAATGACGACAATAATAATAATAATAAGAAGAAGAGGAAAAACATAATGCTTTAATATAAACCATCGTCTTTTTTTTAAATTGTTCGTTTCATATTTTACTCAAAATATATTTATTAGGATCAACTTTTGGCACTTTACGAAATCCCTAAACGCTAATCGGTTCTCGTCTAATTTTCGCAAAAGTTGTGGTTAGCAGGGCCGCTCATCATGTCAGGATACGCCCAGCAAGCATTGATGTCTTGCAGAGGTGACCTTAACTGGCGATGTTTCTACCCAGCACTCAGTCACTGCACTCGACTACAGCTCACAGAGCTCGAGTATCTAGACTTACTTACAATGGATCTGACAACGTTATAACCCTTTACCTGAAAGAATATAAAGTGGATTTTAGTGCCTGATTTAAGCATTTAATATCTGCATGTGCATAATGTGAGCATTTAATAACTGTACAAATGTTTTCCTGTTAAGTAAGCACTCCTATTAGTTTAGGAGATAAAATTTGATCACATGACCGGATGCCAGTAGCGTGCCTGTCCGGGTATGTCAGTAAATTGAACGCACTGGTTTTCTTTACCCAATGACGCTTCCATATCGTACGAATCTATACAAGTTTACCACAGTACAAGATTCGCCATTGTATGATGAGGTGCACATATATATTAATAGCGCTTCCTGCAACTCGCAAGCAGATGATGGTGACTGCCAAAAATCTAGCTACTGTATATACATTTTATATATACTAAACTATAAATGTTGATACGAACGTATCATCACTTATGGTCTACGCTAACAGTTTTAATCTTTGAGGAAAGTATTTTCCATCGATTGCTACCAACTACGATGCATTTACGAATTTCGACGTCACTCATTGATTTCTCATTCAATCGTCCATTGTTTGAATGACCCATAAGCGATAGGATAACAAGTTCGTGATGCCTACTTCTGTCCGGATTTATGAACCTCAAACAAATATGCAGCACTCGAATGCCTAATCGATAAACTGGAAATAAACAAACGGTACTCTTTATAGGAGATTTACACTCTATAAATTGTTAATGTTGAGACATAGTTCTTTGAGAAATCGCGAAGGAGATTCCGCGGTTAAAAGCAAAGTCATCGTTCAGAAGCTACCAAGTTTGTTGGGCATTGTGAATAGATTGTATACTAGTAATATTCTCTTGATGACCGATCATTGCGGATACTTCGGTTCAAGTTTAAAAAAGCAAAACAAAATAAAACAAATATGGATATATATACATTGATATTAATTATCCAAGGAACCGTCTAAAATTGATATGTTTATATACAAGGTTTTACGCACATGTTCATATATTGAAGTCAAAACTTTCGTAAAGCTTACCAGAGTAATCGTAAAGTAGACCAAATATTAATTTAACGGCCATATCTTGTCGAGTAGTCAGGTTCGTTCCGTTGCTAAGTTTGTATACATTACGCATAGGATGTCCATATTATTTATAATAAAATGGCAATAATTTGTGAGCACCTGTGTAATTATACTGTTTTGGTAAGGAACGAGGATGCGTGCGTGAAATTATATTGAAAACTATAACCTCCGTCAATCAGAATTTTTGTGGCAGGATCCCGCTTCTGGTGACTCAAACCCAGTTTTCCTGAACGACAGCCTCCTTTACCGCAGTCTACAAAGCCGTGTAGAAGGGTGTCTTTAAAAGATTGCCCTCCAGTACTAATTATTACTGCTCATCCATCTATCATTAAATAATAGATACTCTTGCCATAAAATATGACTGTGATGAACCACTGTCACTATAGCAACTAATTACGCGTAAATACTAGCGTAGCCGTGCACGTTTCGTGACGCGTGTTTGCCTTTCGCATGTCTTTGCAACGCAGTTTGTCCCAGAAGTGATTGCTTTAACCTTGAGCGGATCGTATTATATACACCCAGTGCATACAATAATCCGTATTATTACGTAAGTTGAATTATAAGAACACGCCTTTGACGGTGCGGAACAAATTCATACGGATAATAATAAAACAACACCATACCATCCCAGACCTGGCCCTCTACGTAAGTTCGCCAGATGACAGTCTAATATAGTAAACACGCAAGCGTATACTATCTTTAGTTTGTCTATTACAGGTTAGTCTTTTTGTTTTTTCAAGAACGTCGCTAACATATTGACACGTAAATTAGTTGTCCATGCGTTGGACGCCTTGATTCCGTTGATGTCTAGTTATGAATTCCTATGACGTGATGGGCCTTTCACTCGTTTGCTTAGTGACGCTTTGATTTTTTAGCAGAGCTTCTCGCCAATTACACATTGAACCAAAAATATAATTATAAAAAATGCTCTAAACAATAGAAATTAATGAGAGATATTTCCTGTAAAAGCCTGTAAATTCTGTTATTGTTCCCGCAAGTCTGAGGCAAAGCAGACAGATAAAAAATAAACACATTTGAGATTCCGCTGAGAGTATCATTTATTTCTCAAGAATAAGCAAAATTACGACACAATATGTTATGTTAGCTTTACAGGTTCCTCCAGAGTCATGGCACATCCACACCACTATATTTCGTTTCTATAACAACTCTAAATAACCAATTGATTTTTCAAGCGGGTAACGTATTTTCGTTCGTTTAGTTTGAACTGAAAAGATCCCGAATCTTCCCGTGTAACTTGTCAGTCTACCCGAGAACGGCCTCCTCCTCAGGGGACGCACATCCTCGGGTAGCAGCACCTTTATCGATGATGATTTTCTACAAATTGCAGTCAAGCACAGGAAAGACATGATTGTATTTTGCTATAATCTGGACGTAGCACTCCACTGCCTAACCTAACCTAGAGATCTAGAAAATAAAGAAAAGAGACAGAAAGGAATGATTGCGTTTATCGTCTGGAAGAGATTGATAAAACAGGTTTCTTCAGACTACCTGCTAACAGTATAAACAACAAGCACGCCACTCTCTTAAATCTCGCTTATGACGCTTAAACAAAGTAGTCAATCAAAAATAGAAAACTTAAATCCTAACCAACTGTGGATATCAAAAACTCACCGGACGCAAATTGCATATATTATGTCGTATAGTTACTGTGATCGTCGTGTACCCGGACTACGTGTTGGCAAGTCCGAAGTACCATAAACAACGTGGACTAGGGGTTGTCCTTCAATCTCACTGGGGCTGCATTGTTTAGCTACGCGGATAATTTAATAAGATGAGCAAAAATTGAGCACGTCAAGCAATTCCCAGAGGGTAGGATACTGTTTGCTCTTATGACTTGTTACGAAGTTCAAATTATCTACTTCTTTGCATCACGTAGCTCAAGAGTTGGTCGATAGAGATGCGAGAATCGCTTGCTTTTCCAGTTCCGTCAAAACGTGCCCGTGTAAACGATAGTAATGGTACTTTAGCATGACGAGCGAGGTCGTTCGATGGTCACATAGCGTGCATCGCAGATGTTTTAGCCGCTTCTTGATCGAAGGACTTGGTCCGCATGCGGAAACAACTTTCTGCCGTTGTGAAGCTGTAAGCGACAATGGAAAGTCTTTAAATTTGTTTGCCGTTTCGTCAATCTTCTCCGAATTTTTTCGGGTTTAAAACAGGGGCAGATGTTTGGCAGTGCTCGGCAAACTTACATCAATATTATCACCCACGATTTTACATTACCCATTAATACAGGCAAAAAGCCAATTTAATGTTGAAGGAAACAATAAGAATATCTTTTCAATTGTTTAGAATAAAGACGCCTCGCATGAATTAACACTTACTACTGCTTGCATTGTCGAAGAACTCTCCAATGCCTGTTTTTGGTCTTTGGATTCCAGTTAGTTGATATCTTATCGGTTGTGGCTTATCCCGTTTCGAACCGTTGTTACTGCTTCTTATCCGCCTCTTGAAAGCGTTTCGAGTAGAGTACCGCACTTCACGCTCACCTTTTATTTGGGCCGTTGTCGTGTACGTCATAGACGTCGCTTCAGCTATTGGCCCCATATTGTCTACGTGATCGGAGTTGGTGTTGCGGGCCTGTGCAACGATTGCTTTTACCTGAAGAGCCGCTTTTTCGACTGAACTTGCAATGTCATTGGTCTGCTGCGACCCACATGCAGTTACCTCTACATAATCAGCATGTTCACTAACTAGTCGAATCCCCCGGTCCCCTACCATACTTTTTCTGCTTTTGTTGCAATGTCCTGGAGCGCCGATTGCACTGGGTCTCACTTCTGGCGATAAGGTAGAAA